CTGACAGTCCCAATTGCAGGTGCAGGTGCATAATCAGTGAAGAGAGGTAAGCATGTTTGTACGAATTCTCGCTTGCTATCACGACGATGTCAGCTCTTTTCCCTTATCACCTCACTCTTACCATTCGGAGAGTAATTGTAGATGGACAACAAGTTGGTAGCTGGTGGCCACTGAGGGCTGGCACCGGACTAAGGGGTGCTCAGGGGGTTAACTGATCAGCATCCACCAGGATTCTTATAAATTATCACTTTCCAAGTGCTGCGGTCCCTACATTCACTTACAGGACCACTTGACATCTGAGAAGTTACTTTGTTCAACGCGGAACGTGTTTTTAAGCAAAGCCCTTAGCTTTATCAAGAAGATCCCTTCTATGAACAGGGTTGAAAGCCTCACAATGGACAAAATCTGCTATCCTTCGGTAAAAGGTGGCTCGAACCACGAATTCCACAATTATTTAATGAACCAATTATGAAACCAAGTGACTTGATTTATCTGTACATATACGAGACAAAATGAAACATTATGGCAAATTCAGGATTCGTTTAATCTTATTTAATTTGCTTAAAGCACATTGACACATCAAATGTGATATAACTATAGCTATGAAATGCAGATTCCATTCAAAACTTGCAAACTATGGAAAGCGAAGAACATTATTTCAAAACAGCTGTACTAAGCAAAGCAAGAAATAGTGTTTACAACTGTAGTAAAAAGTTCAGAGAGAATGCACAAAAAGTCATCTTAACAAGTAACCGTGCAAGCGGAGAGTTAACGAAAGGCAATGAACGGTGAGAAATCTCAATAGTTATTCAGTCAGCTAGTAATCGATGAAAGCCTTCAAGGAACGAGTTTAGTGTGAAAAGGCATAAAATGGTGAGCAACTAAAGGGCATAAACTGGAGTTTTTGACAGTACTGAAAGTTACTGAAGGGAGAAAGTTAGCAGTATAGAAAAGAGGTTATAATCCTTTGTTTTTGGCCTCCTCCAGCATAAACAGGATTTCTGAAGGTGGTGGTAGCCTGCTTGTAGATGGGATTTTCATTCTGAAAAATTGCACTTTTCTTCCGTACCATGCAAAATTGTCATGAAGACGAAAAGCGTAATTCGTGAAAGCAATACCAGAACAAGAAGATCGCATAACAAAACTATTCTTACCGTATCCCACTTCGCCATGAGTCGTTCGTTGTTGAATTTGGCGTATTCTGCTCGGTCATGGAGCACCGTAAGTAGCTTCCAGACGAGAAGTAGAATAATACCAAGAATAACTATGCCAGCAATCACTCCCAAAACTATCGCTAGCACCGGAACTGGTGGTGGACAATCTGAAAGCTTTTGATGATATACTCGAAGCGAACTTCGATATCTTCTGGCATTCGATTGGTGATAATGCAACCTAATTCTCTTCTGAACACCAATGTATACCTACCTAAAATGACAGTTTTCAAAGGTTACAATAAAGCGCAACACAACGGCAGCGGAGATCCTTCTGCAGATTCGAGAAAAAGTAGACAAACAAACTTACAGCGAACCCGCTTTTGCAAACAGCTGGTCCCATGTAACCCCTCAGTATTTCGAATTCATTATTATATGTTGAAGGGAAAAGAAAAACGCGAAGGGTAATTCTTGAGCTTTCGTGCAATTTCGTGCAAATGGCTGATAACTATTGTTTCGCCCCATGAGTCATGGCGTTTTCTTCTCACTCGAAATATCGCGCTAAAGTGGAAAGTTCTGCTACTGAGCTTACAGTTTTGCTTTTGCAGCTTGCCCTATACGATAGTTTTCTCAGTTCTCTTGAAGTTTCTCTTTCCAATGATATTTAAGTGTTCAAACTTGGAAAGTGTCAGGTCGACGAAATTGAGCATTTTTGACAGTCGCCTTTTTCACTTCTAATTAGGAAGCTAAAACCGCACATTGGCTAGTTGCAGTATATGGCCAAGAGACTATGTCTCTCAGAAATACTCAGTACGGTTCAAGCTATTCAAAGGTTCCAGTTTCGACCTCACAGACAAGCATCGAACCTAATGCTCCTACTGAGTCCAGCTGAGAGCTTACTGAATTACCTTATTCACGGAGATTCATGCCAAAGATTGAGGAATCGTTAGAGGTCATGGAATGCTTCCTTATCATTATCAAGCATCACCCTCAGTTGATGTTAGACGTTCGAAAGTTAGTGGGTAGGTTCTGCAGGCAGTCGCTCCCCAAGGCACCCCATGCAATGCACATTTACAAGGTCCGAATCCCCACTCTTGGTCAACTGAACCAACTTTGAGCTGTCATGAGAAGCATATTTCCTTGGTCACATATATCACAAGTTTTGAGCTTCTTCTGTAATTTGAGAGCCGAGATAAAGTGCAAAAAGTTGTTGTCAAAAACTTCTTTTCGTGTCGATGACACACCATTTCAATAAAATAAAAATCGAAAGAAACCAAGAGGGAGGAAGGCAACTTAATTATCTTATAAAAGCATAGAACACATTGGAAATGATTACCACTTTCTGGAAATTGAGGGAGAAAAAATACGCTATTACTTATGGGGGAACCTAATATATGTTTAATGTACCACATATACGTGTAATCATTTTTCACCACATTCGGCATTTACCACATGAAAAAGTTTGCTAAATTTCTGCTTATGTTGGTGTACGGTGCGGAGGTGGTGGGGTGGTACATGGCGCAACTCATCAAATGCACCGTTCGGTGGCCAAATTTCTAATCGGTTCCCAGGCCAACCAAACCTTCCACCCCCATCCCGAGGCCTAAATGGTACCAAATTCATCAGGGAGGGTGAAATCAGGTTACATGTACGTCGACTGGCAGGGACTGCACCAGGTACCCTATGTGAGGCATAAAGGCGTTACTGTGAAGCAATCTAATGCTTTTGAACTCTTTTACTACAGTTTCTTTCGAAGAGACCGCGTTACGTTTCATTTCCCTGCTATAAGTGTTTACGCGACCACACGAGTGGGAGATGCAGGAAACCCTCCCCCCCCCCCATTTCGTTACTGAAATGATAACCCGACCACCAATTTCAGAAACGTGGAAAAATCTGCTGTGATCTGGTTAAAGATCAATATACTAAAATATTCAGAAAAAATCCTCCAGTACTCACCTTTGTGCTCGCGGACCCAAACTGTAGCGTTGTCAGTAGCTTCGTCATAGTAGTAAAGGTAATAGAAAGTACAGTCATCAGCTGGATCAACATATTGACAAGCCGTGGTCTCGTTCAGCTCTCTGCAAAAAGCTTCTTTCAGTACGTTAAAGCAATAAATACACTATGTGTAGACAGTAACTCGCATAGTATAACATACCGGGCAACTTCTCGACAGGAATAACTTTGAAAGGGCATTCTGCGCATCGTTCCTCATCATAAGGACCAGTTCCCCATTGCTGGCACATCACACATGGTTTGTTTCAATACACTTTTGTGGGATCAAGTCTAAAACAAAGAAGTTTATTTTAAGTTAACTATCGAACTAGCGAGCTGTGAAAATGAAAAAAGAAAACTTACGGGGCAAATCTCGCACTTAGCCCCTGAATATCTATTACCATCGGACGCCGTCGAAGCAGCGACATCGGCCACAGATACATTCTCCTTTACCGTTGCAGATCTTTCCATTCGCAGTCATACAAGAGTCTTGGCTAATGGGACATTCACAAGCGCGTCCTGTAGAACACAATTCATTCAGGCAATAAAACAGAACAAAAAGGTTCTTACCTGTCCATCCAGGAGCGCAAATACACTGCCCGCAGTTGCACTTCCCCGTGTTCTGCACAGATCTTGCGATCATGTCGCGGGCAATTAAAGTTGTCGCATTCACAAAACTCTCCAGAAAATCTGTTCTTCGGGATTCTGAATTGAAGGGGGTTAATGTAATCCCGCTAGGATTGTGGCTCGCTTACTTGCAAAAATTCCTATAAGTGCGGTAACCTGACGAGGTTACACTCGCAGGACCTCAGTTGCAACTACTGCTACCTTCGAGATATGAGCCGATTCATTTGTTCTAAAAAATTTGAACACTCAGATCTCCTAAATACATCCATACCGTAAAAATAGATTCAAATTTCTAGCAGAAATATATGTTAAAAAAGAACATCCGGGACGACAGCGCAAAAGAACGCTGTCAAGCGAGAACAGAACTAAGGTGATAACATGCTCATATGAATACTGAAGTCAAATAAACTATTCAGGTTCTCAAGATAATAAATCAGTCTGGTGAAGGAAATAAGAATAACCTCTTGCATTTCTCGTTCAGTGCCGCGGTACTCATTCCAGGTCGATTACACTCGCAATAACGGCCCACATTTCCTCCTTTGCAACGACATACACCGCATACCATGTCTCCACCATGACAATCTTCAGTATTTTCGACAATACGATCCTAAATAATTAACTTAAGAGGACGCTCGCCTAGTGGAGGACGCTCGCCTAGTATTAACTAAAGAGGACGCCCACGGCAGAACATACCTCCTGCTCACAATCACAGTCGCAGAGGACTTTCACATTGACAATAAGTGTTTCATCTAGGCCTGAAGGACCAATACGCAGCACAAAGTCTCTCTTCTCCACACAATGCGTAGCTTCCAGAGGTTACTTCGAATTGCACCTCATCGCCAACGTGTATTCCTTCGCATACATTGGTATCTTTGAGCGTGGTTCCGCTAAAAAGTGATGTAAAAAACTGGTAAGCTGTTCTAGAGAAAAATCGGTACTCACTCAAGGCACATGCTTCGATAGGTAATCTTCAATCCATCGCTAGCATTGGCGTTATCCACCATTATGATCTTCTCGCTGATTTTCAGATATTCCTTCTCAATCAGATCGACAATATTACGAGAATCAGTTTCCAGAATTCCCAACAGAAGAAGACACATCCGGCAGTGATTCCGAAAGCTGGAAATTCAGATTATTTAGGGTAGAAAAGTCTATGATCCTAGGTTGTTTCCCACTGAAACGGTTTTCAAAGATCATATGAGCACTTTCTGCTGACATTTCATGATAAGAACATAGGAACTTGGGGATACGGTCAAGAAAATCGTATTCGCTGCTGCGTCGCCTGCGGCGACCGATGCGGTAACTTCTTGATTGTCCGATAGCGATGTCCAGTAGCGCGGTAAATTACGATTGTCTTGCCAAATACCCAGGAATATGTGAGCTACGGGAAATGTTGGTACTAATTCGACATAAATCTCAGTCTAAATACTTTCGACGTATTCGTGGTGACCGGCTGCATTTACATACGCTCTTTCGTACGATCTGCACATCTTTCCCCGGGAAGCACAATACGAAAGGAAAATAAGCAGCAACAAATATACCTGAGAGTACAAATCGTGGTTTCCCTTCGTGACGGCAAAAATAATGTTCGCCTTACGCTCCTTGATCATTTGATGAAGTAATGCGATGGAGGGGTAGTCCTGAAATTGACTACAGTAAATAGCGATCACTTCTCACTAGGTGACATGCAAAGGATCCACCGATAATGCATAAATCTAATATGCTGTCCAATTTCAGGAACACTTTACGGTAGGTAAAGGGCAAGCTTGACATACCTGTTTCAAAGTTTCCGTGTAGTAACCTTCTCGGTCAAGATGGCATTCGCCGTCATTCGGTTCAACCACACCAGCGAGCTGAAAGAAATGATTATTTAGTTATTCTATCCAGTACATCGAACTGAAAAAGGCTCACCCTGCCATCACCAGCAAAATGGAAGCCTGCATCTGTAGAGAAAACGAGCATTTTACGAGCACGCTCTCGCCAACCGATTTTCTGCTAAAATCGATGTAATAATGTGGAATCCAACCAACTTATCAATAGTTTCATCATTACTTGGGAATGAAAATGAACGACTCACACTGCACGCTAGAGCCTGTACTACTGCATCGAACCCACCCTCTGGAGCATCGAGGTTACCAGAAATTTCGGCTTTGTCGACTTCCGCCTGAAAACTCCTCTTTTCTAGGAACATTCTTCCGTAAGTACAGAAATACTCCTTTGTAATGTGACTAACCTTGAACTTTTCCGTGTTAGTGGTGAGAGTCATTTGATGCTTGAAACCGTAAGGTTCTGCACACGGCTCCGCACAAGGAGACTTTTGCCTGAAACTGCCCTTTGTACTGGGATGTCAGCAGTATAATATTCAATGGGTTATTAGCCTAGCGTGATGTTTGCACTTTAGAATTCGAATGGCGTACAGAGTAATAATAGAAGGATTTAGCGTTACCGCATGCAAGGGGCCGCGTTCGTACCCAGAGATTCCACAGGAATCTGCGAAAAACGTATCGATTTGGAATGCGTAGATTCAGTGGGACCACAGACCCCGCAGTATACGCGGAAATGGAAGAATCGGCGAAAATCGCCGAAGAAGACATGGTGGTGACGTTTGTTTAGCTCCGCCTCTGACAGTTTCTTCAAATTTCGCGGAAACTGTGTATATGAACGCGGCCTTTATGAAGTAGCCATAGACCCTCAGAGCTCACAGGCTATAAGGGATATGTCGTGCGATAGTTACCGACAATCAATAGCTTTGTAAAAGATCCAGGAGATAGACCATCAACCTTATGACGTCCCTTCCCCACGTTTCTAAGATTACAATACTCGATCTAGGAAGTAGAGAAGCATTTCCGAGTACGAGAAGCTTTTCCAAGTACCACAAATAATCAAGCAACGACCTACTTTTCAATCCTTGGATCAATAAACGGCATGAGCTTCTTATCGATGAAAGAACCAAATCCTAGGCGGAAGTTCTTCGTTATATTGCGCATGCGGACGGCTGAAAAGGACCACATGATAGTGGATTCATCAAATGGCATAACTGTGGAATGTCTTTGAAGGAGAGCCTACGGAACGATTATCCACCTACCAAGTAAATCTCCAAGCTCAGAAAGTTTCTGCTTGTCATGAGTTGACAACCGGTTAACGCATCTTTTGTTTCAGGTAATCCAGTCGCAGGTGGGCAGCGACAGGCATATTCGAACGTGAGTCGCCTGTAAATTGGACCTGCATCAGAACCACGGGGCAGACTTCCTTGTGAGTTTAGCTTTTCTTACTGTTTTTTTTAAATACGTTCATTGCTGAAATGACTATTACAGAGAATGCTTAGCCTTGGATTATGCTTAGTAGCTGTAGTGTTTGGAGCTGAAGTCAGTGACTGGAAAACTGGTGACGGTTCGTTA